TGTGTGTGTGTGTGTGTGTGTGTATACATATATCAAATAGCTAGGATAGAGATTCAGCTACTTTCTCTTAGTTCAATGAGAAGAAAGATATGTACTTTTAGTGTTTAAATAAGATATCATATCTGCATCTTGTACTCTGAATAACTACTATGAAGAGAACAATATGCAATGTATTAATTATTGTAACTGTCCTACTAACCTGTTTTGAAACAGTCTCAATGCTATTTCTTTCTCAATAAAATTAATACAAAAAAATAAAATAAAATTAACCCCCACAAAAAAATAAGTGACAACAGAATGTATGAATACACTTGGCATGTATACAAATATGCATAAATTAAGGAATTACTGGGGTGGGGGGATAAAATGATATGCTCGAAAGGGAAAGGATTATAGAGCTACCTGAACCAGAGTTTATATACATTGCTTACAAACTGGGAAATCTTGGACTTGTGCCATCTTTTCTACAGTTGACCAATAAAAAAACAGAATATTTGCCATAAAGAGTTATTTGAAGATTGACTGAGATGTCATGCAAAAAGCACAGGGCAGGCTCTACTTCATCGTCTGATACTCACTGAGGTTGAATCCTTTTGGTTTCCACTAGAAAGCCAAGACACGAGTGGCTCTTTACTCTGCAAATCTTAATGCACCTTTCAGATAATGCCTGCCATTATAGTATTAAAATGCAATTGGGTAAGAAGTAATCAGCTCTGGACCTGTGCCAGCGACCTCCTGCCATCAATCAGTGCATATTTAATTTATAAAATTGAGAGTTTTTTAGGTTTCCATGCAACCTGCTTGACACAGACTGTAGTCTCAGACAGCTTATGTATTTCGTGGTTTTGTTTCTCCCTTTTTTTCTTGTCTTCATGGTTTTTTTAGTTTGTTTAATCTACTAGAATACACTAGTCAGTCATACCAGGCAAAAGTCACCTTTGGAAAAAACAATGTTTCTTTATTTCTTCTTCAAGTAGCTCCAAGTTGACCGACAGACTTGTAATGTGGCTTAGAATTCTAGGCACACATGCCCAGAGAAACAGCATTAGCCATGTGAATTATGTCTCCACGTCAAGCAGAAAGGAAGGATGGCAAAACCACCCATGCGACCCACAAGGAGCCATACATAGGGTTTGCAGTGCTAGGGTGAGATCTACATTCTGCAAGGAAAGCACTCGACCTTTGGGGGCAAAACCGATGGATTTTTAAACAGTTGAAATTTATGTTAAGCCCCTTTATAGCTTCTACTCAGCATTTCCCAATGACCACTTAATATCTCTCTTCACAGGTTTCACATATTGCCTTTAAATAAAATACTGTATAACCCTAAATTTCTCCTTTTCTCTCCTTCTCCCACTAGAGCATACTTTAAAATGACTCACCTTGCCTTCTCCATTCAAATTCAATTCCCTCTTCCTTACTCTTCTTAATTAGGGAGAAACAAAAGGGTTGAATTAGTCTGCAGTAAAGTGAATGGTAGGTGATTTCCTCCACGAACCATCCTTTGTTTCTGTAAATGACATTTATTTTTCCCAAGTTAACATCTAAATGTTGGGATTTCAGGATTAGGACAAAGTCGAAACAAGAAAGGCCAGCTGCGCTCCTGTGGGTACAGAACTGCCACCTAAGGTCCTTGTGTTCAAGGCTGGGGGACCTTTGGGGTGCCACAGGGATGAAGCCCAGTCTGATCTTTGGCCAAAACCTTACCCCAAAATGGCAAGTAGCTTCCATGGCAGGGAGGGGAGAGACTGTACTAATGAGTACAAGCTGTGGCAAAAGATAGAAAGGGCCTCTGGTGTAGGCAGACAAGATTTGGGTACAAGACTGGGGAGACTGGGCACGGTGGCACAGCCTGTAATCCCAGCGGTTGGGAGGGTGAAAACAGGAGGATCACTGTTTGTCTGATCTGTGTAGTGAAA